GATCAGTAAAAAATATATGCCAAACTCTCTGACTGATGACTTGGTCCAATTTGCCTAGTGTCAGGCTTTAAGTAGCACGACCCACCCACCCCCCTGTTTTGGCTTGACACCTCAAATTTACATTGCTGCAAAGAAACACCATCATGAAGCAACTCAGGGTGTTCAGGAACTCCACCATAAGTTACAGATATGTGGTTTAAGACTCATAACAAGAGAAAATGAAACTATCACAATCAAAGACCAAACTATCACAATCAAAGATCATGGGTTCAATCACAAACACATAACGACAAACACACAACCCACAAGCACAACCACAGCACACAACCACAAACACAGCCACAGCACACAACCACAGCGCACAACCGCAAACACAAACACAAACGCAACTACAAAGAGACAATCACAAACACACAACCACAAACACACAACCGCAAACACAACCGCAAACACAACCACAAACACAACCACAAACACACAACCACAAACACACAACCAAAAAGACAACCACAAACACACAACCACAAACACACCACCACAAACACGCAACCACAAACACACAACCACAAACGCAATCAGAAAACACACACTCGCAAGCACACAACTACAAACACAACTACAAAGAGACAATCGCAAAGGCATATCGACAAACACAACAACAAACACACAACCACAAATACAACCACAACACACAACCACAAATACAACCACAAACGCACAACTACAAACACAACTACAAAGAGACAATCACAAACACACAACCACAAACACAACCACAAACAGAACGACAAACACAACCACAAACACAAGGACAAACACACAACCAAAAAGACAACCACAAACACACAACCACAAACAGAACAACCATCTGACAAGAGACTGTCGAATTTCACAGGTCCGGGTTTGGAGTCCAAAGTTATGTTTGAAAGATTTTTAAGTTTTTGGAAAAGGCGCCAATAACAAAACCTACAAACCCGCAGAAAGATACCAGCAAGGTGAATCCATAAGTTTGGACTCAGGAAACGTTGTACAAATACTAGGAACTTGCAGGAAAATGCAAACATACCAATCAAGCAAACCCTGGGTTCAACAAACTGCGCATGGCGCACGGTCATCTGTGAGTCTGTGAGCCAGCCTCTCTCTTTTTTTCTCCTGTGACTAGCGACTTCTGCTTTCAGTCTATCATCAGCTCTGTGGCTTTGTTGGGTGACAAAAGCTTCCCTCAAGCATCTTGCCCTACACCACGCAAACAACAAAGGATTGAAAGGCCAGGCCTTTCACTTGGAGGCTGAAGTCTTTTGCTTCTTGCCATTGCAAAAAATCAGCTATCATTCCAAAAATGTTATAGTCCTAACAAGGAACCATAACTGGCAGCGCTGCCTACAAAAAGATTGTAATTCCAAAACAAAAGCTATTATTCCTAAAAAGTTTTAATTCAAAAAAGAACCATACCTGGCAGCGCTGGCTACCAAAAAGTTATGATTCCAGAAAAGTTATCATTCCAAAAAGAGTCATGATTCCAAAAAAGTTATAGTTCCAAAAAAAGAACCATAACTTATGATTCATTTTTCAAACAGGCATAGCCAAAAACTATCAAAAACCTTTCAAAAACAAACGCGGTTGCTAGTTTGGGGCTCTGTAAATCTAGGTTTTTCACCAAAACACATAGCTCAAAACAAGCAAAAACAATTGATTTTCATGGCTTTTAGTTTGGTTTAGGCTATGCATCTTTTTGAAAAAGGAATCATAAGTTATGGTTCTTCTGTTGGAACTTTTTTTGGAATCATAACTTTTTTGTTTGGAATCATAACTTTTTGGTAGCCAGTGCAGCCAGTTATGGTTCTTTTTTTGAACTATAACTTTTTGGGAATCATAACTTTTTGGTAGCCAGTGCTGCCAGTTATGGTTCTTGTTTTTTGGAACTATAACATTGTTTTGGAATCAAAACTTTTAGGTGGGCTGTGTCACCAGTTATGATTCTTTTTTCTGGGAAACTATAACATGTTTAAGAAACATAACTTTTGGGTGGGCACTGTCCACAGTTATGATTCCTTTGTGTGGAAAGCAAGGGCGATTGACAGAATCTTGACTAGACATAAACTCTGGACGTTCGTCAGATTCACACACTTGATGTTTGGATAGTGGTTGGCTCGGCGCGGTTGGCATCCCATTTTATGTTGAACCTGGTGGCAGCATGACATGTGCGTTCACATACATAATGTGTGTGTGCGCGTTTGTTTGTGTGTCTTTGTGGTTTTCTTAAAACTTAAACCTGTCGCATACATTTTTAATTTTGGCCTACTTATCAAACTGAGATTGGCCATCAATAAAGTGGAACCACATGGGAGCTCTGGAAGCACCATGCACCCTGCGACATAAAACCAAGACACGAGGGTTGCGTTGAAGCAGGAGTTGGGATTGATTATGGTTTTGGTTTTAAGTTCAACCATCTTAAAAGTTATGATTCTTTTTTGAACTGAACCGCCTTGACTTGCGACATTTGACAGAAGAGACAATCACAAGCGCATAACGACAAACACAACCACAAACACGACCACAACACACAACCACAAACACAACCACAAACGCGCAACTACAAACGCAACTACGAAGAGACAATCGCAGACACGCAACCACAAACACAAGCCACAAGCGCAACGACAAACACACAACCACGATCACAACCACAAGCGCACAACCACAAACATAACAACAACCTGACAAGAGACAATCACACGCACATGAGCAACGGCTTTTTTTGCGGTAGTCAAGATAAGTGGAAGGGGCGTTCCTTTTCTATAGCCCAAAAGATTATTCAGCGAAACGAGGTAGGAACACCCCGAGAACGAGATTGGCATCAATTGCGCCATTGTTTAGTTAATGACATGTTTAGCTGGTGAAACGAGGTAGGAACACCTCTCGAGAACGAGATGGGTATACATTGCACAAAACAGATACAGGAATGGAGAACGAGATTACACCCCAAAAACGATGCGAGATTGGAGAACGAGGTAAGGAAGGCCCATGTGATAATTCAACCGAAATATTTTCCATCGCTCACATAACGACAAACACAACCACAAGCACGCAACAACAAACACACAACCACAAACACCACTACACAACCACAAACACACAACCACAAACGCACATCAACAAACACAACTACAAAGAGAACGACAAACACACTACCACAAACACAACCACAAACACGCAACCACAAACACAACCACAAACGCACAACTACAAACACAACTACAAAGAGACAATCACAAACACACAACCACAAACACAATCACAAATACACAACCACAAACGCACAACTACAAACACAACCACAAAGAGAACGACAAACACACTACCACAAACACAACCACAAAGAGAACGACAAACACGCAACCATAAACACAAGGACAAACACACAACCACGATCACAACCACAAACAGGCAACCGCAAACAGAACAACAATCTGACAAGAGACAACAAACGCAACCGCAAACACAAGGATAAACACACAACTACACACACAATCAGAAACACAATCACAAACACAATCACACACACAATTACAAACACAACTACAAAGAGACAATCGCAAACACATAACGACAAACGCAACCATAAACACGCAACCACAAACACAATCAGAAACACACAGACGCAAACACAACCACAAACACTACCGCAAACACACAACCACAAACACACAACCGCAAACGGACAACCACAAATACACAACCACAAACACACAACAACAAACACAACCACAAACACACAACCGCAAACACAACCACAAACACACAACCACAAGCGCAACCACAAACACAACGACAAACGCAACCACGATCGCAACCGCAAACACACAACCACAAACGCAACCACAAACACGCAACCGCAAACGCAACCACAAACACACAACCTTAGACACACAACCACAGACACACAACCAGAAACACAACCACAAACACACAACCACGATCACAACCACAAACGCACAAACACAAACACGCAACCACAACACACAACCGGAGGACCCAAGCAAAATCGAGAACCACAAAGCTCACCATAGTGTGGGAGCAATCAGTTCAAAGATATGCCAGAGTGACTGTGGTTGGATGCAATTCCATATCTGTTGGCGCAGCTGTTTGCAAAGAGACTTGAGACAGGCAACATCCTACAGCAAGTAAAGTACATTTTACTACTCCTAGTACTCGGGCCCCGGAAGCTTCCTACTACTACTACTACTACTCCAACTACTACTACTACTACTACTACTACTACTACTACTAGGGCCCCGGACGTTTCCAAGGTTCGGGCCCCGAAGGTTGGGCCCCGAACTGCGCACTACTATTGCTACTAACCGCACGACGACGACGACGACGACTACTACTACTGCTCGGGCCCTGGACGTTTCGCAGGTGAAATGATCTGAGTTGTATTACTAGTTGGGCGCAGGTCTCCTGATGAAAGCATTCGCTTCGGACAAAACAGACTTGGCGCTGAAGGACTTGTGCTATGGGCTGAAATACACAACGAGGGTGATGTCAACGTGGTTGTTTTGAAATGTCATGGTGGGGATCACTCGAAGTAAAGTAAGTTTGTTAATGTTTTTCCTTTCTGGTGCGGGAAATGGCACTCCTATGTTATCAAGGCAGAACAAGAAAGACTTTTCTATTTTAATACAAATAGCTAACTAAGTTATGTAATTGACACTAGCAAAGTTAGATATAAATCAGCTAACTTCAACGTCTATAGAAGTTAACATACTTAGACAAATTTTATGTAAATATGTTAAATGGAAAGAGAACTTATAGAGTTTTCATATAGTTATAAGGTCTTATAATGCTTTATATCCATTTTAGAATTAACCTTCAGGTAGTTTTTAAATATTATAACTATCATAAAACACTAGCAAACCCATGGCCGATCTAAGTATGCCTTTGCTGACACGAGGAAACGGTCACCACCATTGACTTGTAGCCTGTCCAAGAAACCGCAGGTGCTTCACGTTGGCATCCAGGGGGTGGCCGTTGGTACTCCAGGCCCCAACATGCAAGCGACATGACGTGTTTTCTATTGTTTTCATGTTGATGTGACGCTCTCTTCAGCAAGTTTTGTTTCAAAGCATTTGACTTTGGGAATCACACACCGAATCGATGGGAGCAAGGCGACGGTGGCTTGCTCCTGCAGGCAAAGACCCAGACATGTGCGAACACTGTTGTTCTGATGTTTATTTTCCATTATTTTCCTCCGTACGCCATACGCCATCATTTCTAACATCGACCTGGGAAGGATGGCAAAACGCAGCAGTTGTTTGCGGCCAACGGAATCATATCTTTTCAGGTGGGGAGTTGATGACGTTAAAGATCTCGGTCACCCGAGAACCTGTATACGTGATACTTGATGTTTTTTTCAAGCAAAGCAATCAAACATTTCAAATATTGGAACAATGATTTTGGCGCCAGTTGCTACCGGTCCAAGATAGGTCGGAACCATTGAGAAGCGCAGCAGCCGGACTGTGTGGATTATACCAGCAAGGTGCACCAAGTACCTTATAGTTGACTTGTGATATGATTGTGTGACTACACATGGTCTATGTTGCAGTTCGTGAGACTTAAACTTAAATGGTTTGACAGTACTTAGACTGCTGTTGGCTGTTGGGCCAGGTCTTGGCAGGCTGGGACGCTGCTGACCTGTGTGGCCGAGGCTGCCTCGGGCTCCCGAGTTTGTCATTGTTCGTCGTTTGGGCCTCAGACACTTTCAATTTGCGCAGACGCTGCTACAAGCAACGTGTGCCGAAGTTTCTGGCGGGTTCTCACTGATGTGGGAGTCTTCTGTGCCTTCAGTTTTTTGTCAGGCAACTGAAGAGATTGTCACAGTTTTGGAAATATGGCTTTGAAGGTCTGGAAGAGAGATTTATGCTTTGCCTGATTCGACTATTTCTGGTCAGGATCTTGGGGGTTGACATACAAAGCTGCGTCAAACCGGGTGCAACATAGTGACATAGAGTGTTCAGCTCATTCACAAATTTACTAATTTATGTTTGTTTGTTTGATGTTTGACTTCATTTGGTTGCTTGTACAGTATGTATATGAAGCCAGTGGTGCTTCTGGTTTAGGTGTTGTGTGGGGTTTTGTGCAAATCGACATGAGAGCAAACGAGAGCTGGACTTGCAAAGGGGACCCCAGCTGTGCTTGTTGTTCTCTCACAGCATGCTTGCTGGGGCCGGTGTCACAAGCCACAAATTCTTGACTCGCCAAGCCAATGGATTGGAGAGTTGCACAGCATCCATGGCGTGTCACCATGCCTAGTACGGTCCCACGCATATTAGTTTACTTCTCACAGAGACCTGCAACAAACTTGCAGCTTGCTGGAGAGTGTTCTGTAGAGACGCGCTGGGTGCCGTTTGTGTTGGCACCGAGAACTTGACATCTTCAAAATTGTTCTCCATGGGAAGCGCTGGCTGAGGCTCTTCGAAGCTTTGCGCAGCTGCTCTAGGAGTTCAAGGACAATGTCTAGCACCAGAGACAATGGACACGTACCTGAGAGTCAGACAGCAGAAACAATCTGTGGCACACAGGCTTCACAACAGCTGAGCCAATTGCAGAGGCCACGCCAATGGCATCGCATGCCATTTAAGTTCACCTGCCTCCTTATAACATGGAACAGACACACGTGCCTGTGCAACACTCGTCTGCATGCTCATTGGATTCCAGATTCAGGTACAGGGCTAGTGCTAGCTCAAAACCAGGTTGTTCTGCCGTTTGCCTCTACAAGATGTGTAGCGATTGAGCGATTGAATTGTCATCCTATTTCAATGTGTGTCCATCTTTTATTTGAATGTTAGACAGCGCTTTGCACACACAGACCCGAACTAAAAACTTTTCTGGACCAAATGCAGGAAACCAGGAATAAACCGAAAAGGCTGCTTTGCAACTTTTCTGAAGGTGCCCGGCGTTGCCCAGACAAGGACTGGTTCCATTTTGTCCCAGATCCAGTTTTTTTTGTGGTGTTTTGAAACTGGTGCAAGTGAAAGGATTCCAGCAACTACAGGGTTTGCAACCACTGCGTGGACGCCTCACGCTTTCTTGAACGAATGTTGCTGCATTTTAGCGCACTTCAGCGATGTGAACCCTTGACAAGATGTTCTTGCTGCTTCCCGACATGTTCAATTTCTTTCTGAGCTTGAGAAAACCAGGCCTTTCTTCCAAATCGCATCGGGCACAACTCGATTGCTATGGGCTCATAGTCAGTTCGCACCACCAACGTCCATTTTGGTTCTTCCTTTTGAGGCCTTTCAGCCTGGGACAAGAGAAGCTGATGGAGTCTTCGTCTCTGCCAGGCTCAGTTTAACAATCCACTAACACCCCTTGTGAACCTTGTTGACTATGTTATGACTAATTATATTCAATCTATTCAGTATAAGTGTGCTTCTTGTTTTTGCTGGCACCTAACCAATGGTTTCAGCTGACTTTTGATCGTTCCATGATATGAAAGATATGTACACATGAGTGGAGCCAGCGTACAAGAAACATGAAGAGATTCATCGTGTCCTGTGTTGGGACTTTCTCAGGCGACTTGAGCCAGGACACCACCGTCCGCATGCGAGAGCGCCGGCTTTGGATGCAATACCAAGCGGTGCCATGTACCATTTTCCTCACATCCTTTACCTGATTTGAGTGGAATCGCGCATGAACCCTGCACTGAACAGCAACTGGGGCATGAGTTGGCTCTCATCTCTATCTCCAACATCTATATAGAACAATGTCACAAACACATGCAACAGGACACGATGATAGAGGCACGGGGCCAATACTGTGCTTTCCATTCAACATAACTATTCCAGAAACTAGAAACAATATGTGGTTTCCACTTCGTTAAATTGAATTCAGAGATCTGATCTTAAGAACAAAATAAGATATGTCTCTATTGTAAGTGTGATTTATTGTTTTGCCACAGTGATAACCAAACACCACTTTCAGGCTTGTTCATGCGCTGTGACTTGATGTGTTCTGTTGATCATTATCTTCACAAACGTTCTTCATCACCATCACAGTGTGATCGTTGTTCTCACATCCTTATTGTTTGTGGTTATCATCATATGCCCCTCTTTGTCATGTTGCTCTGGAGATGATGTTCTGCGGGTGGGATCGGGTGGGCGTTTGGTGGAATCGGACTGTAATTGGCTTTCCGATGTTCGAGAAGAAGTCCTTCAGTCCTTCAGGTCATGTTGCTTTGGAGATCATACCCTTACGTTCCTTCAGACCACACATCACCTCACCTCTTACCTCACTCGTCACCTCACAGTGATGTGGAAGTTGGTGAAGGACAGGTGACCCTCCAGCATGCACTCACATGGTGGAGAATCCAGCAAACATACACCATGTTCATCTATGTTCGCGAATGGCAGTGGCATCAGCATTGTGATAGACAGCCAGAGCATGCTAGGGGCTAGAGACTTGCCTGCTGTCTCCGGCAAGAGACTCCGCGCTGCATGCTTCGCCAGCAAACGGGCCTGGCGCTACATTTTCGGACATGCAAATCCATATCATAGGATAAAGTGCTGGGATTTGAAATGCAAAAGACTTTTGATACCCAAATTTGCGGTCAGGATACTGTGTACACCTCCCGCAGTACCACTAATTGTCTCGTACGGATGCTCTAGTCAGTAGCCAGGGCCTCCACTCGGGGCCCACCCAAAATGCAATATGATTCGAAGTTGTGTGAACAAAGTGCTCAAATGGATGCATCATTTCACTCCAGATTGAATTGATGTGCGCTTGCTGCTTGCCCACCAAAAATCCAGGACACAGTCTCCGCTACGTGGCTACTTCTAGCTTTGGGCATTACTTTTGTAGCCTGCCCCTTGGAAACCAGTCTATTGTAGTGTAGTTGTTTTATGCCTGTCATGCCCAATGTGATGCCACTGCCATCATTGCCGAGGGGATGTTCCTATGTTTGTTCATGCAGAGCTATGTGGTTCCTCGAGCTGCAGTGACCTGAGTTTACGCATGAAAAAACACAACGACAGCATAGGCATAGTCCAGCTTGAAGGATTTTAAATGACTTGATCCTAGCTGGATGTGGTGACCACATCACCATAGCACTTCCGATGTGATCCACTGGTGCCGGTGCATCCAGGTAGCTCGACGTGCTCCAACTGCTTTGGACTATGAACGCATCCCAGGTTTACAAGTGTCCCGTGTGGAAGAGGACTGACTCAGCTGTGGACATCCCATCTCACCAGTCTACATTTACCAATTGTCAGGATGTCTCAGAATACACTAGTTGGGCTCGATTGGCTCAAGCAGTCCGGTCAAACATTCACTTGCTTTCAATTTACACTGTGGGCCATTCCAACTTAGTGTATGGCGAGACCCATAAAACCATTGAAATCTTTTTCTACTACATTGGACAGTATTCCATTTCATACATTTGGATCATAACTGTAAGAACTATTGCTAAATACATTGGACCTGCTGCAACTATCGCGTGGAATGCTCAATCATGTGCATACATAGACATAGCGTTCGATGGAGTCACAGCCTTTTGCAGCATGAGGTCGCGTTTGGGAAAGCTGTTGCTTTGTGTGTTTTCCTTCACATTGCTTGAGAACTGCTTCCTTGGAGTCACAACCACGAACCCCAAGGCGCATATCCCAAGTTTGGTTTTGCCAAGCACTTTTGTTTGGGCTACTCCAGCAAGGGCTCAGAGTGAAGAGGCTAGCCTTCCGGATTTGTCCCTGGCTTTCTCAATCATATTTGTTTTGTCCTGCATTGCAGGGGCCCTATCCTGGGTTGCTAGCCTCAAGACCCAGAGATTTGAGGATGGCCAACCACGGTCAACCTCCTTATACCGGGTGTTTCAAGCTCGGATGCGAGCTGGTGAATTTGCAGAACTTGGGGAGAAGGACGAGAAGAAGACCAAGTCAGACGAGCCTGATGAACTGGATGCATTTGTTGATGCTTACGTTGAAGCACTTGAGGAGGACAATGTCGAAACTGACAATCCATCGACGTCGACATCAAAGACCAAAGGCATCGACATCGACGTCGACCTAGAAAAGACTGAACACCACTGAAAGGTTATTTTGACCAGAAGTGATCTTGACATATCTAGACCACCATGTGGTGCATCCTTGTGTTTTGCAGATGTCGCAAATTTGTCCATCCGAAAACTTGCTGCTTGCAAAAAGAGAGTACAACATCAAATGCGCACACCAGCTTGTTTTGTCAGTCAGCTGGAATGGGCTTTGGAGTTGATATTGAAGCCTTCATCCCTAAACATCCCTAAACTCTCTTTTCTGGGATGGTTGAAGAAATAGGCAATCTGGCATGTTCAGGGCAACGATTCATAGTGCTTTATATATAGCGGGAGGATCACTGCTACAAGTACTTAAGTGGAAAACGTTTACCGTGGTGTGGGCACAGGCAAGTGCATACCTGTCCTCACCAACAGCCGTCCCAGGACAGTGATGATTTGGGTTTCAGCCCACATGCCTGAGAAATCCTGCGAGCACCTTGGCAGCCGATTCGTGAATGCCACACTTTTCAGCAGCTGTGCCAGCTATGAGTCGGTTTATCCTGCATAATAGTATGAACACGACTGTGGTTTGGAAAGTCTTTGCAACAAATACTGCCAGGCAGATGGATGTGTCTCACGTCCTGACAAAAGAAACCGCGCTTGTGCTTCTGACGAAGGGGTTGAAATGCAAAGTGTTGACAGCCCTACATCGTTGTGGCTGTGCAGCACTCAGTGTAAAGTAAGGAAAGTATTGACTCGTGGACACCTTGCAAGACACAAAGACCAAATCATGGTATGCATCTAATTCATTATAATTCACATACAAGTGTTGAAAGAGCAGAGTGAGATGTGTTTTGCGATAGAGTGCGTGTCGCAGCAATTCTGAAAGAAAGACTAATATGACATGAAGTACTCTCACCAGGAATTCTTGCATGTTAGTACAACAGGATTGTTTTCCGGACAGTCGCCCTAGGGACGGCAACTCATGGTTGCAATCCATTCTGGAAAGCCAAAATGCCACCGTCACGCTGGCTGTTGTGTTGCCGCGAATCACAACAAAGTGCAACACCTCACAGTACATTACATTGACGACACCACATGAAACGCTTGGAAAGCTTCGCTCCACCTCCGCTTGTCCCTGCCATTTATGGATGCTTGAGCGATACAAATATGACCTTTAAATACTTTAAGGTCTTTTCATGAGCAACGCTACGGCGAACCTACAAAAGGAAGACGTGAAGGCCTTTGTTCGGTTTACTGTTTGATCGATCCTGCAGCGTTGGCTGAAGCCACTGAATTCAAGTCCCCAAGAGTCTGGGCCGCTGTGCTTGCGCTTCTCTTGCGCCACAGCGCCTGGGCGGCGCGGCAAAGGGCAGCAAACCTAGCTTTCAGATGTGTCCAGTTTTTTCAGTTTTTCCCTTACCTAGTGACTTTCCAAGCCTCAAGGAGGGCAAGCGATGGCAAATGGCAAAAGCGAAAAGGATGCTGGGGACTCCGTTGCCAAAACAGTTGTTGCTGTACGCAACGGAAGGCAACATGTGAGCCAAGTGCAGAAAGCGGTGTTTATCAGACTCAAGAAGTGCAGAAGGGCATGCCATACAGCATTGAGACTAGAGATGTGTCAGTGTTTCAAGAGTTACCGTTGGAAAGCATTTCGAAACTAGGCAGTATGCCTCAGTTTGTTTGTTGCATGTTTGCGGCGTAGCCTTTGGTTCTGAGGCAGTTGCCCTTGCTGTGCCAAGCAAAGGGGGAGAGCCCACAGACCAGGCCACCACAGAAAGAGAGGGAGAGAGAGAGAGAGAGACAGAGGGGAAAAGGAATGGCGATAGTCAAAAGTACCTCAGGACTTTTGACCTCAGGACTTTTTTATTGGGGGGCACAGGACTTTGCACTGGCAGCCAAGTTGCATTCTTAAGTGTTCTAGATTGATGCGACAGCGAAAGGCCAAGAAGGATGCAAAGAAAAAAAATGCCAAAGAGAAGCAAGAGGACAACTGGACATCGGAGTCGTGCGCCAAAAATGATTGGCCTTAAGTTTCTGCGTATCCTGATAAAGATGCGTGAGAGACACCAGCGGAAACTCGGGCCGGGCAGTCACGCGAAAAGATTGTCCTCTTACATTGAAGCAACTGCATGAGAAGTCTGACTCCCAAGTTTTCAGCATCACTGCGACCGTTTTCCACTTTGTCAAGCCTGCCTGGCATGTTAGACAAACCTGCAGGAGTTGTCTGAAGAGGATAGACAAAAGAAGGAAGAGTTGGAGTTGCTGGTTCAGAGGGCCCAGGAGCTTGATGCGCAAAGACCAACCACGGACATCCAAAAACCAAGAAGAGATAAAAAGAGCATTTAAGAACGCCCTTGGATGGTTTAGATCTGCCCTTGGATGGATTTGGAAGTTGCAAGGCATTAACGTTCTCAGTGCTAAGCACATCTCTTCTTTGCAGGAGTTCGGCCTAGGAAGGTTTAGCGGATTCTGTGGCTCTGTCACTTTCGTCAATCCTGTCCCTATCTGGTTCTTCCTTGTCCGTTTCGCGATCGCTCGTAACTCTGGGGAACCCCCTGATTGTGAGTTTGCTTCCATTCACAAATATCACCTGGATTAGTTGATGCTCCGTGCTCTCCCGTTTTGCTGCTGGCTGTGATCCTGCATGGTACCTCAGCCTCAAGATGCAGAAGAAAAACGGACCTTTTTGATAAGGCCCCTTCAAAGGAGCCTTATTAAACAGGCCCTAAAATATTAGTCATTACTAGTCATTACTGTTTCTTATCTTTTATTTCTTTCCCTTCATTTTGAAGTGCATAGGTGTGGACATTCTGAGCTTCTGCAGCCTTGGCTCCCAGGGAGACCGTGTCCATGATCACGTGAGAACAAGCAGGAACAGTAGGGGCGATAAATTCCGGCAAGTTCTTTTACATGAGCAGGCAAAACCAAGCAGACAAAACAATACAGAACTGGCTTGTCGGCCTTAAGCAGCGACCGAGAAACAGCGAAAGCCAACAAAGCGTTGCACCGCGCGGAGACATGTACTGCAGATTTTTTGGATCAGCAAGAGCTTGGGCCGAATCTTGCTCTTGTATGGTCTTGTGCACCATCATGTTGTTTGTAAAAATCACAAAACGTGTACCTAAGGATACTGCCACATTGCTTTAACCAGCTCTTGCTGTTGTTGTTCTCTGAGGAAGTCCGATTCGCTTGCAAGTTAGTTCCTGCAATTGCGGGACTGTGTCTTAGTGTGAAACCATGAAACGAACATCAGACTGATGTCATGTCCTTTCCTTCAGCCCGTCGATGGCCGCTTACCGCAGGCCTTGAGTCTCGCAGATGAAACAGCGCGTTGCGACCGATCGCGCCGTGCATCGGTGTAGGACCCCTTAGATTTGCAGCTTTGTTCGTAGTTGGTTGAGCTGCCCCGCATCTCCGTTTCCATTGTCGTTGTTTGACAGTGGTAGCGGAGCTTTGCGGAGGTTCAGCGGTCGCAATGGATCCATGGCATGGCATTGTGGTTGATCCTCGGGGTTCCTATAGAGGAGCGCAACCCCCTATGCTACACAGCAAGTCAATCCACGGCTTCGTCATTGCAAGGACCTGGGCTTGGCCTCGGAGCTCCATCGCAACCTCAGTGGAGACCGGAGGGGCTGCCACAATGGAGTGGCGGAGTTGAGACCTAGAGGCCTGCATTGGGAGTTGGACAATCACCTTCCGAAAGGCCGATGGGGAATCAAGTTGCTTCAGTCATTTCCTGAAGGAAGTGCTCCAAGAAAGATTGCAGAAACAGTTGATTTGGCAACACTTTTGTCGGACAATGGTTGTGGAGCAATTCTTGCAGAGATCATCAGCAAATATGGTCCATACCTTGAAGCAATTGGTCCTGCAGCTGCTGATCATTGCTTTTACGGTGTGCCGCGTGCTCAGGATGAGAACTTTAGCACCTACATCGCTGCAAAGGAGATCGCATTGCACGAGCTGGATGCACAGATTGGAGAACGTGTTCCTCCAAAGATCGCTGGAAGAGTGTTGCTTTGAGGTGCAAATTTGACAGAACAGCAAAGGGAGAACCTTGCCATTCGTTACAATACATTGCTCACACTTGACCAGATAGCTAGAGCACGTCCACCACTGGACAGACCTGAAGCGTTGGTTGGACGTGTGAGCCAGAGTTACATGATGTCACGTAACAGTGGCCCATCCGCTGAAGCTGAATTGCAGCATGAGGAAGAAGAGGAGGAGCTCATCGAGGAGGACGAGTGCCCTGAGTCAGACGATGACGAAAATCTCACCTACTTACTATTTGAGCCAGGCCGCGAGCTTTCTGAAGAGGAGGCCCAATACATATGGGCTGACAATTCAGCATACAAAGATGTTCGAAAGGAGCTCCAGGCCAAGAAGAAGGGCCGACATTTCTTCAAGCCCAAGGACACCAAGAACAAGAAAGGCGGAGGCAAATCAGAAGGCAAAGGTTCTCGACTTCTCGATTCAAAGCTGGAGAATCGAAGACCAAATCTGGTGGCACTCTGAAGGAACTGATGGCGAAGACCCGTTGTTTTCGATGCGATGAACTTGGTCACATGTCTTGAGATTGCCCTCACCGTGAACAGCAGAGTTTCTTTGTCGCTCAAGGATCAAGGGGCCCAATCAATCGAGCGTTGCCTTCTACAGGAACGCCGTCAGCTAGCAGCTAAACAAGTGGCACATTGCAACCTGTTGAGACATTGCAACGCAATACAACATTGGTTGAACAACGTTGTTGCAGTGGTGCTAGCGTGCTTGTGAATGGTTCAGAGCAGTTACAACACACAAACACCGCCTTTGCAGGAGCGCGAACTGATGCTCACGAAGCAATCATTGACACAGCTGCAGAAGAAGCCGTGGTCGGGCCAGGTTCATTGGCTCGACTCAGAACAGCCCTTGCAAGGTATGGTTTGAGGCCAGTCGCAGCTGCAGGCGCAACAGTTTCATGCTCAGGCATTGGCGGTTCGGCCAAGATCAATGGCGTCTGGGACATTCCTCTTGGAGTGGCTCGAACGATTGGGCTATTGTAACTTGTAACCCTCCGTTTTCTTCTTCCAGTCAGCTATCAGGAGCTTGTTGGAGCAACCATTGATCTGGGCAAAAGTACTTTCAAGTTGAGGAATGGCCGTCGCACCATGATGAAGCGGACACCATCCGGCCATCGTTCGATTTCAGTCCGTGAGTTTGGTGGTGCTGGGCGCCTCAGATTGGCTCAGAGAATCCCTTCATGCTGGAGGTTGACAAGAAGTCCGGGAGTTGCATGTATATACATGGGTTCATTGTTGGGGCCAAGGTCGTCGTTGGTACAGCCTCATGAAGTGTTTGAGCCCAACAAAGTCGCCTTGTTGAGCCCTCATCGAGAAACCCAAGCACACTTTTCACATCCGGGGTTTGTGGCATTCCCCTGATCGCCAACTCCCTCTGGGTCAGGTAATGTGATTTTTTTTGCTTTCGTGTTTCGGCTTCTTTGCCATAACAGCGACCTGTTCCAACTGCTTTTGTGCTTGGATTGACATCCAGCTGTCTAGCAGAGCAGGAGAACAACATCATCCTTTGATATCCCTTGTTTCAACTTTTGAATTCGGGTTCGTTTCAGTCGTGTTTATTGACCACTGGAGACAGTTGCCTGTTCCGTTTTTCTAGATTCTTGATGGGGGTTTGAACGAGAACTGGCTGGGTTGAGCTCAAAATGACTGTCTCGCATTGCATGCCACGTCCATTGGAGTTTCTTCACGACCATAAGAGAACGTAATCAAACTTCCAAAGGTTGGGTGGCACCTTTCACGATCGATAGAACATTCGACAAGTTTGAAGCATTCTTCACTTGTTCAATTTTTGCCACCTTGCAGCCAAGCTTTTGGCTGTCTGCCCCAATGCTAAGGTCTGCACCACTCATCATTCGATGTGATGAGAAGGATGTCAAGCTGACCACCTACAATATTTTATCCCCACCGCTGGCATCACCGCAACAGTTTCCCTCTTGCGATCAGAAGGCTGGCTGAACATTCCGCTTCATATCACCTGGAGCCCCATGTAGCTTGACCACCTCTGTTCATTTGGACCCAGGTATCCCGGTTTTGACCCAAAGTGCGCATCTATTGGCCTATGTCAACTAGGATGGCAAGTGGCAAGTGAGTAGCGTTTTTGTTGAAATGGTGGAAACAAGATGAAGGGAAGCTCCTTCAATGCTACGCAGCCTGTTTTTTGATACTTTGCGTAGGGTTGCGTTGGCTGCAGGCGGAGGCACTTACATATGTTGTTTGCGCCGTGTAGGTTGTTTTTGGTGTGCGTTTTCTTAAGAAGACCTTGTCCAAGCATGTTGGGTAGCTGGTAGGTGGGCCACCCCCTGAAACTAGAATAGAGCATGGATGAGGCACTAGGCCAGGCAGTTGCTGCATCGGAGCCTTTGCATTTGCTTCACATGTGTATGCAAAGTTTTGCAACCGTGAGGACTTGCTGAAGGAGGTGCGTTTGCCGAAAATTTTTGCCCGCCTGCAGAAGGCAGCAGATGAGGAACGCATCATCGCCTTGCAGGCCAACCGGGTAGTTAGGCGCAAACTATAGCACGTCTAAAGCCATGTGGATTTTGGGAAGGCTTTGTGAGCCTTGAACTGCCACGGTGGCAGCTAAGGTTAGAATTTTGTAGCGAAAGGCCATGTGAATACAGGACTTGCGCAGTCTGCGTTTTTCCAGGAAGTGGACTTGGAGTGGGCTGGCAAACTCCATTCCTTCTTTGCTGAGAGAGGTTACGCAGTCGTGTTTGCGCAGTATGGCAAGCAGACCAACGGTTGCTTGGTAGTATGAGACTCATAGAATCTAGCTTGATAATAATGCCTTATAGTGTCGCATGTCTATGTTACAATGATACACAAAGTGATGGGGGCTGGAGGGAAGGTGTTGTTTGGCGTTTACGCATGTTTGCACCCTTTGCTTGGAAGATGTACCGTTGTGTTTTGATTTTGATGCGAAATAGACTTGACATTGGCCAGCCGAGTTTAAGAACGCGCTGAGGCTACATGGGAGTCATGCTTGCTTGGCCAACTAGGTGTTATGAGGCGTGTTCAAAGCAATGCCTTCATCATTGTGTCCGGAAAAGAAAACGCTGTAGCGTCTATCAAGTGTATTTGGTGGAAGACAAATGTTTTGCTGTCCATAGAGACAGTGCATATGCGCATAGAGGCTGCCCTTACCTGCTGACAGACCGATGCGTAGCGCCTTTTGTTTCTTTGGCTTTTGTTTTGAGAATTTGTTCCTACGTCTTGCATTTCTTGTTTGAACACGGCAAGATTGGCAGCGTCATCGTTGGCTAAGCTAAGCCAGATTGAGGGGTTGTTGTTTTTCTGCTAGGCGGTGGATGTCGAGATCTGCAGACTTGCGGATACTGCGCCTAAAAATGCGTGGCCGGTTCAAAAGTCGAAGACCGGCCTTGCAAGATTTGGGTACTTGACCTACGATGGCCTAACGGACTGGGCCGGGGTGGGTTGAGGGAGGTTGTGATCACTTTTGGCGTTGGGAGATGAGTAGGCCATTTGCGCTCCCTAAGATAGGTTGCGCAGCAGGGAGATGGAGGTTGTAGTTCCTTGTGTCAAAAGGTCTTTGGGAAGTCGCGTTAATTTCCTTGTTCCACGCGGCTTTATAGATTCTTTTGGGGACATGCAAGGGGAGATACATAGCGAGGGCTTTTGGGAGAGCTATTGGTGTTCTTACTTCAAGTATAGGAAGAGATGCCTGCGTGCGCTTTGGAGCCTGGGTCTCAGTGCCGCTGCAGGGTGCGACGCGTAAGTAAGCAGTTACGTCGTGGCTCAGCCCTTTCCATTTCAGGGATGAGGTCGGCTTGCACTAACCGTGTAATGCAGTAACTCATTTTATGTCATTTTGAATATAATTATATTCTATTTAAAGTGTCAATGCAGACCGGGTTCACATCGGACTATGCTCTCCCAAGCTCTTTTCTATGTGTGGTCGCGTTCGCCTTGGAACTTGGATGCTCGTGCCGCTGAAGGGTGTTGCTGCCAGATGTCCATGATCTGGTAGTGTGCGCTTTGGAGCCTGCGCGCTGGTGCCACTGCGGGAGATAATGACGGCGCCCAGGAAGGAGATGTTTCTGGCCGTCTACTTTTTTGGGGCCTCCTTGCTGCCGCTCCTGAGTGCTGCTGCGAGATGTCTATGGCCGTGTGGGCTGATGCCACTGGAGGGTGCAGTTGCCAGATACCATGTGCAGTTGCTGCTGCCAAATGTCAATGGCAGTCGCGCGCCTGCGCGGAGCTGGGAAGCTCGCGTCGCTGCAGGGCGCTGCCGCTGCCCGCAAATATTTGTTGCTATTTGGCGTTTGCTGCTTTGGCGCTGTTTCCACAAAGGAGTTGATTCATACAAAACCCAAACGTGCTTGCAATCGGTGTAAATCAATAAACGCTTTGTATATACAAGGACCTGATGTGACCCTGATGTGACCCGGTCGCATCGGGCCCCTCCTTGCGAATTAGCGTGTTTTCAGTGAAGGATCACAACGCGTGGCTTTACAAAATGACCCTGCGCCCTTAGCATTAGCAGATGTGGCAGGGCCTCAAAATGCACTAGGGTAGCATACTTTGACGGCGTGTTTATATAGTAAAGAGCACGAGAAATAAGCACGCCCACGCGCAGTAGATCATAAATACGTGTTTGACTCTTAGTAATACCCCCCGTCAAACAATTGAGACTCCTGATTGGTAATTGATAGTGAAAATCAATAGTGATTAAAGGGAAAGCAACTTTATTTAGTTAAAAGGAGATCATTATTAGTTAAATGGAAGACAATATTAGCTAAAAGGAAATCGATATTAGATAGAAGGAAATCAATATAGTTAAAGGACATCAGTATTAGCTACAAGGAAATAGTATATATACTCAGCTGAAATGATAAAGGACTTGTGAAAAGTGCCTCCAAATTTCTGCGGCTAAGTCATGAAGGTTTAGCCTACCCCCCACAAGTATGTATGTCATGAAGCAAAAGCTTTGAAAAACCTCAAAATCAGAGATGCCAGAGGTTGTCACCAAAGATCCTTAAAGAAATCCTGAGGACCAGGTCAACAAGGCCTATGTCATGAGTGTGTGCCAATGATATTGCAGAGTTTACGTTTGTACATGACTTGCCCTGGGAAAGTTGTATATCACTTCGACCCAATTGGCCTAACTCATCTCACCTCAGTATATACACCTTTAAGGCACATACGGAACACACACACACACACATATTTGTATATACGTATGAATATTTATGTACTATGTAGATATATTATAAATATATATATATATCCACGGGTTTGTTTAAGACAATTTTTGTGTTTTTTGAATAGTTGCTGGTGGGAGTTTGTCGCGCCCGTTTTTGTCGTTCGATATTAAGCACATTGCAATTACGATTTCAGAACTGTTCCACTACTCGGTTTTCGTCGCGCGTACGCATGTACTTGCAGTGGATAAGATGCTTGCGTGTTGTGTTGCGCACACATGTGTTTCAAGGGGGCGCTTCGGATGAGTGCGTGGGCTAGACGCTTGCGTGTATCTTCAGCTGGTGGTTCGGGCGGGCGGAGCGGGTGTGAGTGTGAGCGTGAGCGTGTGTGACTGTGAGTGTGAGTGAGGGCGAGAGATGAACATCTGAGAGCCCAAGGCGCTGCGCCTGCTACGAAATGGGCACTTCGAGGTTCACAACGCGCACGCACCTGCCACGAAATCTGCGCTTCGAGGTTTTACACACAGTGCTGCGCCTGAAACGAAATCTGCACTTCGAGGTTCACAAAGCGCTGCGCCTGCTACGAAATCTGCACTTCGAGGTTGTTGCGCTCGCCGCGAAATGCCACTAAATCTGCGCATCGAGGTTCACAAAGTGCTGCGCCTGCTACGAAATCTGCACTTCGAGGTTGTTGCGCTCGCCACGAAATTTGCATTTCGAGGTTCACAAAGCGCTGCGCTTGCCACGAAATCTGCGCATCGAGGTTGACAAAAAGCGCTGTGCCTGCCACGAAATCTGCACTTAGAGGCTGACAAGTGCTGAGCGCGCCACGAAATCTGCACTTCGAGGTTCACAAAGTGCTTCGCCTGCCACGAAATCTGCACTTCGAGGGTCACAAGGCGCGCCTGCCACAAAATCTGCACTTCGAGGTTAAAGCGCGGCGCCTGCCGCGAAATCTGCAAACGAACCACATGTCCAAAAGTCACGATCCACTGCAAAATATGCATTTCAAAGCTTAGATCCCTTGCACCTGTCACGAAAAGTCGGCTTTCGACCACCAAAGCACGAGGCTTCCCTTGCGCCTGCCACGAAAAGTGGCCGCCATGTCCGAAAATGCGCACGGCGCCAAAACGAGAGCGCAGTCGCGACAAGCGCCCGCCGCCGACCCAGATTTAGCGAACCTGCGCAGTCGAAATGCGCTTCGAGGATTATCAGAGGCATGACTGTAAATAGCAGCGAGTTAGCCGGACACGGCGGCCATCACCTCGATCTAGCCCCGTGCTTAACTACTACCGGAAGAACTCCTAGTCTGTCCGCACTGATAGGGGAACTAGTGACAACCTGACAACCTGCTGTAATTTTTCCCCAAACCCAAGGAAAATGTTGCACGTTGTTGTAGAAGATTCAATCCCTCACTATCAAAATGGTAACCAAGCCAACCAAGGGTGTGCTTCACGTTGATGCAGTGTAAGTTCTTTTGCGCGCTGGAGCTAAACCAACCCAGATTCAGATCGTATGAGATGAGATGCTAGAGAAGGATGTGAAACGTCTACAAGATCAACAGGTCAACTGAGTCTAGAGTCTAGAGTTTCTACACTGGTGATCAAATAAGGCGATCAAACAACAGAAACAAAGTGTTTGGGACTTATGAAAGCTCTGCTACTTTAGATAAGTCAAGCAATTTACTTGGTCATACTTGTAGTGAGGGTCAGTGCCTCAGATACTCCCGAACATTTGTGCTGAAAGAAGTGTTCAGGGTCTTCGCCTCCAAGAGATGGTCAGTCACCTCCCCATCCTCAAAATAAGTTGTGCAAGGATAGCTAACTATGGGGGCAGGCAGATATGGAGCGGCCAAAAATTCTTGCAGTGTGTAGACTCTTTAGCAATGGCCGGGCATAGGATTCAGTGCTTTTGTGCAATCTGGAAGATCCTACAAGATGAGACAGAAATTTGTTCCTTGTAGCCTCAGAGATTGCATCAAACCACAGCCAGCGTGGAGAACTGACAGGAACAGAGTCACATCCCCGAAGACCACTGCCCGGCATCACCCACTTCACTATGCTGCAGAAGATCACATTGGTTCAGACATTCAACCGCTTTTGATTTTTTGATACTTGAAGCTTCTGCCATCCATCTATAATCACAATCACAACCTGCATTTTGGACGCTGGCCCGGCATAGGGAGTCAGCTGAAACGGTGAACTTCCATGGGAAACACATCAAGCTGCTTTATCGCGAAACATTTTAAGAATTGAGATCTGCAAAGGGGAAGATAAGGCTCCAAATTTATTGTCCTCCTTGTTCACCTTTTTAGTTTGTTCTCAAATTCGGAAGAAGCGATATCTTCCCGCGCCAAAGAGGAGATCCTGGGATGCAAACCTCCTGAATTGGACAGGAACAGCGACGGCGAATGGACTTTGGCCCAAAATCGTTCCACGGTTTGCATCATTAATTGCACACTTTGCAGGAGGAGCTTACTTTGCAGGAATTCTGCAAGGTTTGCTTTTGTTTCGGACAAATGTAAGTAATACAGAACACATTGTGCGAGCGCTGGATGTGCAGTAAAACCTTTGAGATGTCTTTTTTGCTCACTGTGGGAGTTTGAAAGCAGGTAAATGTATGGGTCCGAAAGTTTGCGCACACACAAGGATTCCAGTTTTTGGCAAAGACCAAGTGTTCCAATTCCAAGCACGGACCCATACTCCCAGCTTCAAGTGAAGCGTTGCAAGGCTTCGAGTGAACGTTGCAGGATTCCGCAAGGTTACAAGAGCTTCCAGGTTCAAGGTTACATAAAGTTCCAGGTTCGTCCCAGGGCGAAAGTCCATTGGTGTTTAGATTGCATAAAGTTCCAGGCTGCCAAGCTGGTTGCAGGTCCCAAGGACTTCTTGCAGCAGTTTAAAAGGGTCTGCGATTGAGAGCCCGTTGCTAAACACAATTGTATAAACTATATATATATATATGTATATATATGGATACAAAGGCTTGCTGCAAGCAGCTAAGCAGCCAATTGCTGTTGTGATCTTGGCTACTTCAAGGACCGGTGAGCATTGTTGCTTTGCGTGTCTTCATTTAAATATTTTGGTATGCCTGAGCGCCATCCATATGCTCCGGCTCGAACAGCTGCGTGCATGTTGTCGTATGAATTTTATAGCCAGCCATTGGATGTTCACTACCTGCTTGCTGCAGTATGTTTGTCTTCCTATCCAAGATCCAAGGCTATAATGAGGCAATATTTGCGAAGCTGAAACGCAGGGGAACTTCAAGCGTATTCAGTGTGGGAACGTATCACATGCCATGTTTATTTGGTGCCTCAGCAGCATTGTTGGTCAATATTTGAGCACTCGCAAGCAGTTGATCGCACTTGTGCCCAAGGAACAACCGAGAAAGTGCGGGCCGTCAACATTCATAGCCGCTTGTTGCTGAACAGGTCCGTGGCTCAACCAATTCGTGTTTTCTAGCACATCTAGCATTGTAACATGTTGCAACGAGAGCATGAGGTTAAGCAAGTTTGCTGACGGCACGCCAGTTGCATTGATGGGCGACTTCAACTTCATGCCAGGTGCTGCCTCCTTTTTCAAGCAGCAAAACACTCCGGCATACGTGTTCATGTGACAGACATACGTACATGTTCGATAGCTCCTCCCTATCGCAGTGTTGTCTTTGGCTTGACACTTCAACTTTATATACAGCATTTTCTCACTATGCTCAGGCACTACGCCATACCAGCTTCTTGAAAGGGGAGGTTCTGCTGAAGGCATTCAAGTGGCGCGGCTGCTAATCGAGGACTCAATGTTAAACAGCTCACAGGGGCTCATAGTCCCAACTCAACTTGCGCTTTGGTCATCTTTGGTGAGCTGATTTCCCAACTTCTTTACTAGCTTTTGATAGCTTTTGTATGACTGGCACATGAAAGAACAAAGGATATCCAAGCATGAGCAGCACGAGCATGAAAAGAATTAGTTTGTTTTTTTAAGATTTGCTTATCCACCTTCTAAACGAGAGGGTAGCTATGGTGCGGAGTGTGCTTCAGCTGGAGCGAGTCTTCAGCGGAGCAAACAGAAGGTATGCTGGAAACAATGACTGTCCTTGATTGGCTGATGAAAGATGACGACCACCTTCAAGCCTACAAGCATCACTTCGCAAAGGATCATGTGAACAGTGTCATACACCTTGCAACAAAATTCAACAAAAGGACATGTCATGAATCATAGACGTTCATGCAGTTGTGAAAGTTTCAGTATGTTGAAAGTCTTGCAAAGATACCATTAGAATTAGTTGGTAGATGCACACTGAATACGATATTTGCCTTGCTTCTTCGTATCAGTCCTCCACCCAAGGTTGTGAAGGAAGTGAACATTTTGGATCGACTACCTTCCTGCCAATTTCAGAGCCTCCAAAGTGCTTACAAGGCCATGATGACATACTGCAGCACCTTGTGGCAGACAGAGGCACACGCTGTGAGTCCAGGCCTTCTACGGCCAAGAGCCTTTGTTCACAAACTACGCTCTGTCTGGATCACAACGGGAGCCCTTCATGGGTACGCTGGACCCATGGTCACGCTGTGCATGCTTTTGCACTTTACGCCTTTTACGCTTGAGAACACGCATCTATTTGTGTTGGTGCTCTACATTATGTTTGCTAACATGAAACATGGTCCACTACTGCACTACCCTATCTTATCCTATCCTATCCTATCACCTGACCCGACCCTACCCTATGCTGCTTTGCCACAGTTTGGCCAAGGACTACATTTGGTTCAGCCCTGACAAGCTGAAAGTGGTTGCATGTGACTGGACAGTGATGAGCACTTTGCACCCATCCATGCCTTGCGATAGCACATAGGTCTTAAACAGACATGTTTTTGTTTGGAGGTGAGAAGCTGTTGCGAAAAGAGGATGTGAGGAGTCCTTTTCCCAATAATGATGAGCCGTCAGACCATCTGCCCTTGAACGCCACTCTGCGTTTCTCAGCTGAACCTGTCGCTTTAGTTAATGCTTTGAGCCTTGCGATCCCAAATCTGTACCGAGGCTTTATTTGACTTCATTCATGTGATCTCGGATTTATTCAGAAAGATATACTGTATTCATGCACAGCTTCAAAAAGCTCAAGATGTTCTGGAGGGCAATCCCTTTATAGGATGCTGAAGATAATTCGAGCCGTGCTCTACAAAGCATCGGATCCATTGTAATTATTCGCATGTGACTGTGAGATGGTGAAGAGCGAGAATACTGCTCTTTACTCAGCTGGTCTCTGTCCACACTGAAATGGATGAATTATTTGATACAGCGTTGCACGAGCTCTGAAAGCACGAGCTCTGAAAATCCAGCTGCTTTAATGTTGTAGGCCCATTTTGCCCTACTTAATTTGCCTTGTGCTCCTCCGATGACAAGCCTGCAAACTGATCCCCTGGGTTAACATTGTTCGTTGTGCTTCCTTCTGTTGCACCAACATGTTGTGGCAAGGACTCAGATCAAGGGGTTGCAAAGATGGCTATGGAGGCTCGGACTCCCATAGTAATAATTACTCTATGCCTCATGCCTATGAGTAGAGGAAAGATGTATGATAGTGCCGCCTTCGTGTGAAGGCCATGGTGAAGGAGCTCAAAGAATCAACAAGCTCAATGACCTCAGTTGCGCGCTTGATCAAGCGTGGCAAGCTCTTGCTGGCCTTGCTGCCTTTTAATCTGAGGTGCCAAAGCCCTTGAAGTTTCTGCGTCCGCACTACTCAACACTCACTGAACATTACGCCAAGGCAGGCCCGGACTCTGTCACTGGACTTGGCTGGCTTGGGGGTAAACTTTGATATGGAAGACCCAAGTTATGCAAACTTGATGAAACTTGCTACAAAAAAGACTCAGCTTCCACAAACCTGCCTCCCTGATGTCCATCATGGCTGAAGATCTTGGAGAGGGCCGAAGTTCTCGAAAACTATCAGAAGATGGGAGTTTGTGGAACTTGCTGCCTTGGATCGAACTCGAACTCGAACTGGTCCCACCCCCGGGTGTCAAAATTGTCGTCGATTGGAATTCCATGTTCCCTGCCTTAGGGAAATTTACCCGGGTGACTACTGAGCCATGGATTAATTTTCTTGGATTATTTTTTTTGATGGTTGGATTTTGGTAATAATCTCGTACAACCATTCTGGAAATTAATCCTACTATCAGATTTGTAGGTTGAGAGTACCGTGGATTAATTTTGATACGTGGAGGTGTGAGGAATATTTATCATGAGGTGATGCAGAAGTGGAGCCACCCCTGGATTATTTTCTGAGAGTGCTCAAATGAAGCCTTGCCTTGCTATGACCATTACACAAGAAACAACACTAAATACAAATACATAGAAAGGAGCCAGCCGGTCAAATGCCTGATGTATACTTAGAAGAAGGAAATCTATAGTGAGTGTGTATTCCGGCACTTACTGTATTGGGAATTTGTTATTGTATTGCGGCGCCTTGAGACCTAGAAATTAATCGAGACCTCTGCAAGTGCTTTGAGCTCAGACATGTAGAGTACTTGGGGTATCCCTGGATTAATTCCGCCCCCCCTAAAAATTAAACCAGACTCAACATCCTCTAGATTAATTTTCTGAAAACACTCTGGAGGTAGTCAGATTAATTGTTTAAACTAATCCAGGCGTACCCCCCTCTACTCTCCATCTTGGAAGGGTACATGAAATTCCAAGTCGATCTCGAACTCGAACTCTTCCCCCCCCGGGTGTCAAAATTGTCGTCGATTGGAATTCGAGTTCGATCTCGAACTCGAACTGGTCCCCCCCCGGGTGTCAAAATTGTCGTCGATTGG